TGGAGTGGAGGGTGTCATTGATGATAATGTTTAAAAGCAAAAACTCACTGTATTTCCCTGGCATTCAGCACAGAATCTGATAAATTCTCTTAAAATATATTGAACATATGGTATATGGTGAAATGCAGCACTTCTTGGTAAATTCAAGTGAAGTTTCCTCAAATGTTTCTTGCTTTAGCTTCTCTGCCACCTACCAGAGCAACAGATCTCTTCATAGTTCACATTAATCAGGAATATGGGACCAGCAGCCCAAGCTGCCATCGTTCACTCAAGGTTTACCCAAGCCTGGCGTCTGAAGAGAATTCACCTCAGAAATAGCCCATGCAGGGGGAAGCATGCTGAGGGGCACACAAGTTCAAGAACAGTCGCCAGCATCAGAAGTACAGGAAGCTGGTGACAGCACTAAATCGGTCCCTCAGAGCGCCCTCTGGCCCAGCCCCCAAAGAGTCGAGTGGAGTCCGAGCCCTATCGAGAACCTTCTGCAGCTTCACCTTGGCGAAGGACGACTGTGTTGCTGGCAACTGCTGCGGGAAACTTTGCCTCTCAAAGGCTTCGTACCACCAAGCTGCCGGCCTCCGGACCCAAGTGGTGAGAGCACAGCGGCCCGCCAAGCCCGCGCGCGGCGGGAAGCCGGACGCTTAGGGCTTCAGGGCGCCTCAGCGCTCCAGAAGCTTAGGCGGCAAAGTCGGCGGGAAGCTGAGGCCCGCCCCTCCCAACGGCTCAGAGGGGGCGTGGCTACGTCCCCTGCCGCGCCCCCTGCCCCACGGCAACCGGCACAACACGACAAAATGGCCGCCACACCGCTGAGTGCTTAAAGGGAAGGACGAACTAGTCACCTGCTCCGCCTCAACCCAGTTGTTTGGCCCGGCTCCTAGGCGGTGAGTGGCGGGCCCAGTCAAGGCTGTTCCTTGGCACGCGGCATCTGGAAGGAGGGATGGAGGCCAGAGGCTAAGGCAGGAGGGCCTGGACCAAACCTGGGGTGGGCTGGACTGGGACGGATTCGGGGCGGGGGCGTGTGCCTGAGAATTGGGATTGGATGGGAAGGATGGGACTGCCCGAAATAGGCGGGGGAGGAGGTTTGGATGAGATGGGTGGAGGTCGGGGTAGGGTTCCCCAGGACCATTGGGGATGGAGAATCTGAAGGTGGAGAGGCGCAGCACGGAGAAAAGCGGGATCCAGCTACGAAGGGGAGGGGTATGAAGTGTACCAGGTGTCTGGGAGGAATGGCAGGGATAAAGAATGGTTTAGGTATCTTGGCGCCTTTCCGTACACAAGAGTACAGCACATAGAGAAAGATGAGAGGATATTGCAGCTGAAAGTTAAAAAGAGGGGAAGAGTTCAACTGTGTTGTCTAATGATTAAGAGATTGGTAGGTTTTGAAGTTAAATAGATTTGGGTTAACGTCTTGATTCTGCCACTTTGTTGGTGTTATCTTACGGCTTTATGACTTTGGGCCTGTTCCTTTCTGAGCCTGTTTCCTCATTTGTAAAAATAATTGCTAGTCACTTTTGCGAACTTACTAGTTGTCAGATACAGTTGTAACTACTTTACATGTATTAACTCACTTAAAATTTACAATAACCTGTGTGAGGTTATCCCCGTTTTATAGTGAGGAACCTGGGGCCCAGACAAGTTGAGTAATTTACATAATGTCACACAGTAAGTGGAAAATCTGGCTGTCTAGTGCCAGAATCCAAGCTCTTAATTTTAATGATACACTGCCACTTGTAAAATGAGGTTAATAATTTGATTTTATACATCTGTGAACATTTAAATATCTTAATGTTTTTAGAGTTCACTCATTCATTCGACAAATATTAATTGTGCACTGAACAAGACAGAGTTACTTCCCTCTTGTAGCTTACAATCAAAAGGGGAAACAGGCAAGAAACAAGTAGTTTCACAGTCATTTAATTAAAATTGTTGTAAGTGTTAACAAGGAGACTGATTTGTGCAGAGACCATGGATATAGGGGGATATAATCCTCTTAGACCTAGTGCTTAAGGCATTTGACTGCTAGCCGGAAGGCTGGCAGTTCAAACTCACCAGCCACTCCTCAGAAGGAAGCCTGGACAATCTATTTCTGTAGAGATACCTCCTGGGAAACCCAAGGAGGAGTCACTACGAGTCAGAATCGACTCCACAGCAATGAATTTGGTTTGGTATTAATCTTGAGTGTAGGAACCTGCCTTCTCAGCTTTGCATGCGTAGAGCCGAGCACAATTCTTGGTACATAAAAGTTGCTCAATAAAATGAAATGAGAAAGTTTATGGAAAGGCATGGGAAGCTTGAGCTTTTGGGTATCTGAATTGACTGAGGAGTGCAAATGAGTACCATATTTTTATACAGATAATGTGTGGTAATATAAGTTTTTTTGCAAACCATGAAACCCCTTTGCACATTAGTTTCTCATGCATGCTATTCACATTATATGTGTGTTTGTGCATGCTATTTATGTGGGTGCTTTATGTACAGAAAAATGTGGCAGTGAGCTTGGCTGCTGACCAAATGTTGACTGTTCCAGTCCACTGAGAGGCTCCTCAGACTCCTCAGTAGAAAGTCTTGAACTCTACTTCCAAAAACCAGCTATGGAAAACCCTGTGGACCACAGTTCTAGTCTGACACTCAGGGGGTCGCCATAAGCCACAATCAACTCAACAGGAACTGGTTTCAGTTAGACTGAAGAGAGATGGGTGTGGATCCACTTCATTCTTCAGTATGTTAATATCCAATTTTCCTGGCACCACTTGATGAAAAGGCTCTGCTTGCTCCACTGAATGGTGTTAGCACCCTTGTTGGACATCATTTGACCATAGACACAAGAGTTTATTCCTGGGCTCTATTCTATTCCATTGGTCTGTGTATCTATGCATCTGTCACTTCCATGCTATTTTGATTACTGTACGTGTAGTAAGTTTTGAGTTGGCAAGTATGACTTGTCCAACTTTGCTCTTTTTTAAGATTGCCTTTCCTATTCAGGTCCCTTGAAATTCCATAGAATTTTAGGATGGGCTTTTCCATTTTGGAAAAAAAAAGTCTGTTGGGATTTTGATAAGGATTGCTTTGAATCTGGATATCACTTTGAGTTGTATTCTCACCTTAACAATATTAAGTCTTCCAATTCCTGAACACGGGCTGTCTTTCAGTTTATCTAGGTCTTCTTTTATTTCTTCCAACAAGGTTTTATAGTTTTTAATGTACCAGCCTTATACCTTCTTGGTTAAATTTATTCCCTAAGTATTTTATTCTTTTTGATGCACTTGTAATTAGAATTGTTTTCTTAATTTCCTTTTCAGATTGTTCACTGCTAGAGCGTAGAAATACAACTTTTATTTGTGTGTTGAATTTATATTTTTTAACTTTGCTGAATTCATTTATTAGTATTAACATAAAAGTTTATGTGTATGTGTGTGTGTGGATGGATTCTTTAGGATTGTCTGCATATATGATTATGTCATGAATAGATATCTTTACTTCTTCCTTTCCAATCTGAATGTCTGTCTTTTTTTTTTTTTCCTTGCCTAATTGCTCTGGCTAGAACTTATAGTGCAGTGTTGAATAGAATAGTGAAAGTGCATGTTCTTGTCTTGTCCTGATGTTTATCATTGAATATGATGTTAGCATGGTTTTTTCATTTTTGGCCCTTATGTAAAGGAAGTCCTAGTTTCTTTATCATGAAAAAGTTTGGGATTTTTGTCAAATGCTTTTTCTGCCTCAATTGAGATGATCATGTGATTTTTTTCCCCTCTTCATTTGATTGATGTGAAGGTTTACTTTTTGAATAGATCACTCTGGCTTTCAGCTGCAGTATATTGATGGAAAGGAGAAAGGGAAGAGAGCTTGCTGGTAAATCAGTTAGAAACTACTATAATAGTTTGATAAGGGCTTGGATTAAAGCGGACTAGAGTGAAGATGGAAAGAAGTAGATTGATTTAAGTAATATTTGAAAAAACAACCAGACTTAATTGTTATCAAGTTGATTCTGATTCATAGTGACCCCCATTGGGTTTCCAAGATGGTAAATCTTTATAGAAGTAGATTGCCCCATCTTACTTCTGCAGAGTGGCTGGTGGGTTTGAACTGCCAACCTTCTGTTTAGTAGTCAAATACCTTAGGCACTATGCCACCAGAGCTCCTTTAGGTGATACTGAGGAGGTGAAATTGATAGGACTTGGTGACTGGGTAGGGGAATAAAGGAGAGGTAGGTGTCAAGACTCCCAGGTTTCCCATTTATGCGTGCGAGTACTGTTCTCTAGGTAGGGGACACTATAGAAGGAATAGGACTGGAGTAGAATGAGGGTTGTGGGAGAAAACGATGAATTCAAATTTGGACATCTTGAGTTTAAGATGCTGATGAAATATCAACTAAAAAAAAAAAAACCAAACTCACTGCCATCGAGTTAGATCCAACTTATAGTGACCCCTCCTTGGGTTTCAGAGGCAATATCACTGCAGAAATAGATTGCCCAACCTTCCTTCCAAGGAGTGGCTGGTGGGTTTGAACCACCAGCCTTCTGATTAGCAGTCAAATGACTTAGGCACTATGCCACCAGAAGTGTCTAGAGCTCAGAGAAAGGTTGGATTGAAGACATAAGTGTCAGTATACAGGTGTTATTGAAAGCCATAGGTATGTATCATACTGTCTAGGGTAGGATTAGAGAAGACACTAAAAGGGAGCCTTGAAAGTAGAAAAGGCCTTGTGACTAGTTCTTTCCAAAGAATTGAGAACAGAAATGACAGGTATCACTTTTGGCTGGAGCATTTAATGGTCAATGCAAGAGCCTCTGGAGGTGTGCTTTCCCTCTGGCTAGGTGACTGGCAGTGTTTGAAGTACTGGCTGCTCCATCACTTGGAGTGGTGTGAGTCCTAGTATGAGTAGCCTCTGAGTTTATATATTTGTACTGTTGCAAGTTTAGTCATGGTGTTTTAGGAATAAATTAATTTAATAGTTTTGATATCTCAAGTATTAACCTTGTTAACTCCATTGAAAATTCTTACAGGTTTTGATGGACATCTGGCTTTATTCTTGCAATGAAGAAAGGTCCTCAACAAAGATTATTCTCCAGAACAAAGATACCACCATCAGCTCACTCTCCTAGTCCATCGTCTCTTATGTCCAATATGAGATCTAGGTCTCTTTCACCTTTAAGTGGGCCAGAGACTCCTTCTTTTAATTCCGAAGGACAGTGGTGTAAGCAAGTTGAGATTACAGAAGAAGACAATATGCCTTTAGATTGCCAAGACCATAAAGGTATTACTCTTTAATCTAAGGATCTGTCTGATCACATACTCTTAAGTAGAAATGGGAAATACTGAGTACATTTTTGGTCCAAATGTAACATGTGTCCTGGTACTAACTTGACCTATTGTTTGAGGACAGTGGGAAGAAAGAGGTTTCTGGGTGAGGATGCAGATGTATGAAGGAGGAGGAGGATTTGGGAGCTTCCGAAAAGAGGAAGCTTTGTTTCCTGTGGTAGGGATGCCTTAAACCTCCCACCCCAGTTTTGCTGTCATCCTTGGTTAGGAATAGGGCACATCTGTTCACTTCAGAATGGAGTGCCTTAATTTAGTATGAAAATTGTGTCTACACTCAGGCTATGCCAGTCTACTTATTAGGAAACTGCTTAACTATAAATAGTCTGATTTCCATTTATGAGTCATGCGTATTGTGTTCTACCATTTTTTTAATTAAAAGCATTTTGTTATTCTAGAAATCTATTTTCAGAAATATATTATTCTTTGCCAAGCCATGAAATCATACTTGATTGACTTGCATATTTGATCAGTTTTTATTAATTCACATTCTCAGCATTTGTACTATACTTTTACTGCCAGCTAGCATGTTGCTATTTCCAATGTTAGGATACCAGTCATTTTCTGTCTTAGAACAAATCACATTAAATTAAAAATATATATATTTTGAACCAAAATAAGTATAATATTAGTTTATTATAAATAAGCATATGGAATCTTTGGCCCATAGCCAATTAATCCTTAACCAGGGATTGATTTTTTTTCTGACTCATAAAGCAAGAAGCAATCCTCTTTATATGTCTGCCTTTGTGAAATGTTGTTGTTGTTATGTGCCATCAAGTCTGACCCGACTCATAGCGATCCCTCCTTGGGTTGCCGAGGCAGTATCACTACAGAAGTAGATTGCCCAACCTTCCTTCTGAGGAGTGGCTGGTGGATTTGAACCGCTAGCCTTCTGGTTAGCAGTCAAGTGCCTTAGGCCCTATGCTACCAGAGCTCCCTTGTGAAATGTAGCATGGTTTTCAAAAAGGTCGTAAGACAGGGTATGCTGTCCATCAGTGAGTTCTTTATAAAATATGCTATTTAAAAGAGCAACAAATTGAGATTTCTCACTCTAGAAAAATAGGAAAGGAGGAGTTTTTTAAAAAAAGTTTGTTGTAATTTAGGTGAAAGTTTATAGAGCAAATTCACTTTCCATACAGCAATTCACATACACTTTGTTGCATGACATTGACTGCAATTTCTCACAGTGCAACAGCTCCCCTCCCACTTCTTCCCCATAGTTACCTCTTCCCTGTGTCCTTCCCTTCCATGCACTCCTGCCCCCCAAAACTGTCTCCCTGTACATACACAGCCCTTCTGTTCTCCCATGATTGATTTCTCTAAGGAGTGTATCTACCTAATGTAAATGTTCAGCTTATATGCCTGTCTTTTGTTTGGCTGGCAGCCACAGGAGTGGGTTCAATTCCAGACCTGAGGAGCAGCTAGGGGCCATAGTCTCAGTGGTTCCACCAGGCTCTATCAGACCTGATACCCCCGCCCTCACTCTTTTTTTTGTGTGTGTGTGTGTGATTTTAAGTTTGGTTCTACATTGTTCTCCTACTCTATCCAGGCTCTCCTACAGAGATTCCCCCTCTGAGTGGTTGACAGTGGTAGCCAGGCACCATTTAGTTCTTCTGGTCCCATAGTCATATAGGCTGAGGATCGCATGTTATACCAGTTGCTTGGACTAATTGTTTTCATGCATCTTTAGTTTTCTTCATTCTTCTTTGCTCTGGATGAAGAGAGACCCATTATTGCATCTAGATGGCTACTTGCAAGCTTTTAAGATCATGGTCATTGCTCACCAAAGTAGGATGTGGGACAATGTTTTTGTGTAGTGTGTTATCCAGTTGAGCTTGCTGTCTCCTGCATCATGGTCCTGAGCCCACAGATCCAACTACTCGCTCCCTCTGGGTAGCTGGCCGTGGCCAAAAAGTGACTACAACCTTGTCCCTGGTCAGCTTTACTATATACCTGGCAATTCTTATAGAAGAATAAGAATACACCTGTAGAAACATTGTCTGCCAACCCTATACCTGGTCATAGGCACATCACCCCCTGCATAGACATACCTAATTGTTCAGCCTGTCTACCCATCTATCCACCCATAGATCAGTGTTTGCCATCACTGACAACACAGTACTGTATGTACAAAAGGGTTCTTCTCTGTTGTCTGTACCTCCCATGCACTTCTCTATGTCTTCCTCTTTCCTCAAAGCCACCATGTTGATCACTCACATTTGATACATTGCCCTTCTCTTCACCCAAATAAATTCTTGTCTTTACCTATCTAACAGTGTTCCTTCCCCTTCCTTCCCACCCTTGGTAACCAAAAAAGAAAATTTCCTTCCATGTATAAACCTTTCCTTGACTTTTGATAATAACAGAATAATACAGTATTTGTCCTTCTGTGATTGGCTTATTTCACTCAGCATAATGTCCTTCAAGTTCATCCACATCATGTGGTGTTTTTAGATTGTACGTTATTCTTTAGGGTTGCATTGTATGTATGTACCATAGTTTGGTTATCCATTCTTCTGCTGATGGGCATGTAGGTTGTTTCTTTTTTTTTTTTTTT